CTGTTGTCCACTCTGTGGGTCACGGGGCTGGGTGGACAAAGCACATCGCTAACCAGCCATGAAGCCTCAATCTCTCTGTGCCCATAGCCAAAGCATGGAGAGTGTGTACCAGATTGATAACTGATCACTATTTATTTCTGTACTCAACATACATGTTAGGGACACCTACCAGGGACAGACACTATGCGGGGCACCAGTGAAACTAAAATAAACAGAACATCCTGAGCTATGACATTCTCTGATTCTAAGTTCTAATAGTGTTCAACTCAGATCTTTATGGTTTGTTCCCACACTATCTTTGGGTTGGGGATCAAACCTGCAACCCAGGTGAGTACCCTGTACCAGGAATTGAACCCACAACTCCTTGGTGCATGGGCCAATGCTCCAACCACTGAGCCACACTGGCCAGGGCTGTTCCTATACTATCTTTACTGTCCTCAGTATAGCCAAGTTTAGTTCTGCCAGTAAATGACACTGTATACAAGAAACTACCCAGTTAGAGCTCGTGATAAAATTGGTATCTGCATAAAAGGCATCGCTTAAAACTTTTTCCCCTGTCAATTGCACATTTTTACCTAAGATGTTGATAATGATGGTTATGACTAAACTTTTCCCTAAAGAAAAAAATCTGCATTGCTCTATTTACTAACATAATTTCTTCTTCGGGATCAAGACTGGTATGGGACAAATTATGAAATGGAAATCACAAAAATTTAACCAATGTGGCTTTTCCTTTGACATGTGAATAACTATTCTTACTAGTTACGTATCTTTTTAAGGGTGCTTTAATGTAGCTTAAATATAAGAAATTACAATTTGCAAAAGTTTCAGGCAGAATTTAAACTCAATTGCCATTATTCCAATGAGTCTTACACAGGGGTGGGCAAAGTGGGTTAACAATTGTTCGTATAAAAAAGACATGCAGGTTATGATTATAATAATACAAGAATAAACTGTTTCATATATTCACAGCTGTAAACCTACTTCTGCACATCCCTATAAAGTAATACTCTATTTTCTTAAGTGCAAGGAAATTGCTAAAATATCATATGGAGTAGAAGCCAAAACATCAACTTAAATGAGAAAAGTATGTTTGTTTTTCACGTTAGTATTCCATTTTTACACTGTCAGCTCTACGTTCACACTTTCCCTTAAAAATTTAACAAAAAAATCTAGAATTACTAAAATGAACTTTTTTTATTCCCCTGAATGTACATGAATTTGCTTGGAAACTCACCTTGAAAAGAGCATAAAGTTCTTCTAGCTCATCAATGGTAAAGGAAGTTTCTGTCACAATGGTTCGTACCTATAAAGATAATAAATACAACAACTTTCACAAACTCCAAAATGTCATATTGGGCAAGTTCCTGATTTTCTTCTAAGTCATCATCAGTGTGTCAAGCAGGGGTTTATAAGCCGGTAGGAGTGCGAGGAAGGATGTGGGGAGATGGCCACCCGCTGTTTCTCGAAGGACTCACCACATTCCGCTTGGTAGTGTCCTCCAGCGTCTGGATCACCTTCAGTCTCTGTTTGAATCTCATCTGCTCAATCAAATCTGCCCGGATCGTTCCAAATTTCTGGAAAAGAGCAAGATTGGCATTTCCAAGAAACCTGCTAAAGCACCCAGCGTTGTGTCTGCAGGACTGATGGAGACACAATCCTGATACATATGAGAAATTTATTGTCACATGACAGATATGCTAGACTATACCTTTACTTACTATTAACCTTTATTTATTCTGAAGCCATTTAACAACTATAAATAAATAAGAGGAGATTCTCATGCTTCTGGGCTGTTGAACTAAATTTCAAAGCCAATGAGTCTTCCTGAATTCCACAGTTCATGGGGGAAAAAAGGGGCTAAATAAGGTTATAAGAGCCATTTACGTACAAAAATCCTTTAAAAGAGGAATTTTCTTGACGAGGAGAGAGGAAGTATCTAAGGCTCACAGACTGGGAGGTTGGAAGGAATGTTGGTGTGAGGCTCCCTGCTCCGTATCTCTAGTTCAATAGCATTTGTCCTGGTCCAGAACCCAGTGCTTCTGGGTGGCAGACACGGTGAGCTGGCAATCATTCAAACTCTGAAGTGCCTAGCATTGACTGAATGTATGTTGAACTAACTTTCAAGTCAAATGAGTCTTCCAATCTGAAGGCAGAGAAAGAATACTTAAGATGTGATATCTTAGTGGTGCGAAAGAAAAACAAAGACGTCCTGCTTAAAGCATGAAGCTTAATCCATGGGAGCAATGGCCGCATTGGCTAAAGACATTTAAAGAATAAAGGAAAAGTTGACAGTATCAAGTGTTGGCAAAGGTATGGTGTAACCAAAACTCTCTCTCATATACTGCTGCTCAGAGTATCAACTGGTACAACCATTTTGAAACTCTGTCTGGCACTATCTATTAAATCTGAATAGATATATACCTATCACCCAGAAATTCCTCTCCCTAACTATATACCTCGAAGAAAAGTGTATATGCTCTTTACAAAAAGACACATACTAGAATACTCATAGTGCCACAATTAGTCAAAAGCAAGAAACAACTCACTCAAATGCTCATTAACAGTAGTGTGGATAAATAAATTATGGTACTGTCACTATACGGCAATGAGAATGAACAATTTGGATAAATCTCACAATCATAATGCTGCAATAAACCAGAACCAAAAGAGAACATTCTGTATAATTTCACTTGAATGAAGTTCAAAAAACAAGCCAAACTAATCTATGGTAATAAAAGTCAGAAGAATTATCAACCTTGGCTGGAAAGTGACAAGAAAGGGACACAAAAGGCATTTCTGGGGTGCTGGTATTAATCTGGGTAACGGTTACATGGGTATGTCTAACGGAAGGTTTAAAAAGAGTTCCTTGTACATCCATACCATAGAATACTGTTCAGAATTTTTAAAAAAACAAAAACCTATTGACATACACAATGACTTGGATAAACCTCAAAGAAATTATGACGGGTGAAAAAAGACAAATCTCAAAAGAATATATGTTGCATGATTTTATTTGTGTAACAATCAAATAACATAATTACAGAGATGGAGGATGCATTAGTGGTTGCCAGGGCTAGCAATGGGGCGAGAGGGGGGTGTGTGGCTCTAACGGGATCATATGAAATAGTTTTCTGTGATGGCTCAGCTGAGTGTCTTGGTTTTGGTGGTGGTTATGCAAAGCTATGCATGTGACACGACTGCATCAACTACATGCACACACACACGAATAAGTGCATGTATGACTGGGAAATCTGAATAAGCTGTGTGGACTGTGCCAGGGTCAGGTTCTTGGTGTTGACTCTGCACCGAGGTTGTCTGGGATGTGAGCACTGGGGAGGAGGGGTCGGGGGCAGAAAGTGTAGGTCGCTTCCCTGCACGTGTCTTTGCTACCTCCTGTGGATCTATAATTATTTCAAAATAAAAGTGGTGTGTTTTGGTTTTTAAAGAGTGACTTTGAAGTAACGGTGTAACCTTTCAGGACAGACGGTGCTGAAGCAATCTGAAAAGTGAGCAACAATCAGGGAGTTGAGAACTTACCTTTCAGCTCAAGAACAGAATTGGTACAGGGTGGGGCAAAAGTAGGTTTATAGCTGCGAGTATGCAAAACACAGTATGCTTATTTATTAATTATTGCACTGTGGTGGCCATATGCCTGTTGTAAGGTCTTTTATTAATGTGTCCTGTGCCTTCCAGAAAGCCCACCTGAGTGTCTGAGTCCAAACTGAGGCTGGGACTTCATCTTTTACTTCTGGATAACCCTACAGGGACTGTAGTGCCTCACCTACAGGTCCAGCCCAGAGGAAAACTGTCTGTCAAACCATCTCTACAATCCTTTCCAGTGGGGGCTGGGGAGGGGGCACCATGAGTGAGATTTTCCCCTCCAGGCATTATGAATAGAGTCATCATCTCTACTCACCAGGAAAAACTGGATCAATATATCACAGCAACCTCCCAACAACTGGGGGGCACTTGACCAGGTCTCAAAGCTGAATGTGCTCCAGTATTTTTCCTGCTTTTCTATTCACCAGCTGATTATTCCGAAGCACAGAAAGAAACGTGTTACGAGCCTCAGAACTCTGGTGTCATGGGTCCGTCCAAACCAGGTTACCACTGGCTGTGCGACGAGCGGCCCCATTCTGCAACTAGGGCAGTGACTCTCAGTCCTCACCGGGCACTAGAATCAGCTGGAGAACTTTTAAAAAATGCTTATTCTTGGCCTCATGCCAGAGATTCGGGTTGAATTGATCTGCAATGAAGCCTGGTAATTTACATTTTTAAAAAATTGGTTTAAAAATTTTCTTTTGGTTAATCCTCACCTGAGGATATTTTTTTCCATTGATTTTTTTTAAGAGAGAGTGGAAGGGAGGGGGGGATGGAGAAAGAGAGAAACATTGATGTGAGAGAAACATATCAATTGGTTGCCTCCTACCAGGGCCAGGAACCAACCCACAACCCAGGCACGTGCCCTTGACCAGAACTAAACCCTTGACCCTCTGGTCCCAGGCTGACGCTCCTAACCACTGAGCCATGCTGGCCTGGGCTGGCTGTAAAATTTTTAAAGTGATTTTAAAGGATTGAAAGCCACCAATCCAAAGGTTAGGTGGGGGAAAAAAAAGGTATTCTTTTTAGAGTGATCTGTAAGGCATTGAAGAGCCATCGGAAACTTATGAGCAAAGGGTGACACTAAGCAGAGAAAAGAAAAAATAAATAAAAGCAATCACCGTGCATTGAAAGACTAGGTAATGCAGGCATCGATATAGATGAAAGGGGCTGTCTACCCAGGCAGAGGAAGGAAACTGCCCTGTCCTGTGATAGGATTCCTGGCGGCCTAAGGGCCACCATTAAGGATCAGTTGGAGGAGACGTAAATGGAAATCAGCCCTTGGTCTCGTCTCCATTCTCTTCCCTTTCCCATTAAAAATGAGCCAAGCGCTGATCTCAGCATGATGTTAGCTCATCCGCTGTTAAGAATGAAGCTGAGTTTCCACACACTAAGCTTTAGTACTTTGGTCCAGAACTCTCTTAACAATAAAGGTTTCAGAAGACGCCTTTAGAAAAACAACCTACAGCTATAAAAACTATTGCCTTTAATCAACTGGACTCTGTCTGGAAGAATAATCATCCACAATTTCCCATAGGGCACTCCCCAAAAGCCCTGGGGTGATGATTTAAAAACACACCATATGTGATGATGTTATGATGATAACCAGTTTTGGAAAGAGTGCAGTGGAACAGCCATGCTTAATCTCCATTAGAGGAAATGTAAATTGGGACAATCTTCATGAAAACGGTGGTGTGTGTCAAGAGCATGGAAATAATTCATACATTTTGAGCCATGGCTGTAAATCTTTTCCTAAGAATGGACACTAAGAAAATAATCAGAGATGTGGTATCTGTGTGCAAGTTTATCACACAACATATACCATATGATATATATATACACAATAATGAATATTTGGAAGCAACCAAAGTAAATGTTCAACAAAAGGGGACCAGCTAAATAAACTTTGGTACCTCATTAAAGCAGAATACTAAGAATCTATTAAAACCATGCCTCCAGACAATATTTAATATACAGGTGTCCCCCCAAAATGTATACACACTTTAACAGCTACTAGCTCAATTTTGAAAATGAAATGTATTTTAATAAACACTATCTTTATAATTATTCAAAGTGTGTTTATATATTTTGGACACCCTATATTAGCAAATGCTCATATATATTTTACATGAAAAATGGAATGATGCAAAGCTCTTTTATTTTTTTATTTTTTAATCCTCCCCCAAGGATATTTTTTTCCATTGCTTTTTCAGAGAGAGTGGAAAAGAGAGAGAGAGAGAAAGAGAGAGAGAGAGAGAAACATCGATGTGAGAGAAACACATTGACTGGTTGCAAGTTCAAAACTGAGGTACGTGCCCTTGGCTGTATTCGAATCCCAGACCCTTCCGTCGGCAGGCCAACGTTCTAACCACTGAGCCAAACTGGCCAGGGCGCAAAGCTCATCATGTAGGAATTTATCTTTTAAGTGTGTATTGCAAATATAAAAACATACTTGAGGGAAATATGGTGAAATGCTCATAAGATGTAGTATATATTTTTCTTCATATTTTCCCATAGTTCCTACATTTTTTAAATAATAAACATGCATGACTTTTATGATTCTAAAACATACTAAAAATGTTTTGTTTTCAATATACGTAGAGTGCCAATGAACACTTCTAAAAGTAATAAATTACCAGTCTTCTTCCCTTTATGAGTGAAGGACAATCATTTCTGAAAAGGGTTCTGTATCCATACCATTTAAAAAACACACACGCCAATTTCTTGACTCTAAGAAGGACTTTCTGACCTCAGCCTGTTCCTCACTATTTGTCCCTCATCCAGTTGTTGGAATGCTGACATATACCAGACATATGATCTTAAAACATCTGTAGGGGGCACAGTGTGCTCAGCAGAATATTCATGCTCTTTCCTAATCATCATTTCTGTAAAAGTTTGCAAAGCTAAGGATCAGGAAATGAAGAAACAATGAGGAGTCATGGGCACGAGTCCTTGGGGCTCCACAGACCACCAGATGCTATGAGACACATGGCACTGTAGTTACTTCACCTTGAGCAGCTCTACTTTGAGATTCAAGACCAGATCCAGGGTCATGGGGGCCAGAAGGCAGCCTCCCCCACCAGGCCAGGCAATTCTAGGGGAATCGTAGGGCTGGCTCCTCTTTAGGATGGTGCAGGGTATTCTACGTGCCTTGGACCTAAGTACTTGGCATGAGAACAGGCAGTGAACTGGTTTGTGCAGGTCAACCTCCCCACGCCTGCTCTCAACAGCCCCATCTCAGTCCACCCAGAGTTGAATCTGAGCTGCTACTTGATCAGGTTTCAGGGTGGGCATAGGAACCGGAGGGGAGCGCTTGTCATGCCATATGCTCCATGGTACTATACCCAGCAGAAGTCATGGACCCCATTCAGTGTCCACCTCTGCAGCTCAAAGCTATCAGCTGGCAGGTAGCTACTTGCTCCAGCAACTAGTTCTCAGCAGGTAAAAGGAAGCAGGTACACCCAGGGGTCAGCAACGGGAGTGACACTCAGAGAGCTGTGCCACTGAGCCAGGAAACAAGACCTACCTCATAGGAGGTTCTGATGAGCCTGAAGATGTCCACCTCGGGGTAAGGCTCCACGTCATCACTGAGCAGGGAGTGGAGGTGAGGAATGGGAGGCAGCGTGCTGTCTTTATTGGTCACACTGTCTAAATACCTGGGAGGAGAAACGGATCAGCTGTCACTGGGAGGCTAAGCTGGAATTCTCCCATTACAGTTCTCCACACATTTTCTGCAAATTCTGCACTTGGAAACAAAAGACTAGAATTTCCTTCATTAAATGAAATTGCCTTAACTTCTAAAAACAAAGCATACGGAAATATATCCTCAGCCACTGAGAGAAATGGGCATGATGACTACCACAAGCCACTTAAGACTCATGAAACCCAGGAGGTAGACGAAAGCGCAGGGCAGAACCAGGCGTGGCTTTCAAGGAGCCTTAGTACACTACCTTCCCAAAACGGTCATGGCCTCCCCGTCGTCCTTACAGTTCAACAGTTTGTCCACATTTGCATCCAGCACAGCCAGGGCCAGCTGGAATATCACCTTGATTCCTTCATAGAAGAAACAGTCGACAACCACAACTGCACTCTCAAAGGGCATCACGCTGAGAAACAGGGTAAGGAACCAGGACAGGGAGATGGTGGAAATCACGCCCAGGTCCTGCATGCAGTCGTAGAGCTGGGGGACATAGTCTCGCGCCAGTTCCTCGAAGACACCCTGGTCCACCAGTGCACCTGCAGCGGAGTGGACACAAGGGCTCTGGGTGAACCCCCTGAGCCTTCTTACTGATGCACCCAAGCCAATGGCTTGACTAAAATAATCCAGTTCACAACTGCTGCTTTTTATGGTGGGGAAAGCAGGACAGGAAGACCCCAGAAAGGGAAGATGCAGCCAGAACTAATCTGGTGACTAGGCTGTGTTGACACCTTGGTCTACAACATATTAACTAGAAGGGAGACAGAACTCTGCTCCCTTCTCTGTTTTGCTATTACTATGTTACTAGTTACTATTACTAGTCACTATGTTACTAGTCAGTGTTATTATGTTACATATTTCTATGTTACTAGTTACTGTGTTACTATGGTACTAGTTACTATGGTACTAGTTACTATGTTACCACATTACTAGTCACTGTTACTAGTCATTGTTATTAGTCACTAGTCACTATGTTACATGTTACTATGCTTCTGTGTCACTAGTTACTTTGTTACTAGTTAATATGTTGTAGACCAAGGTGTCAACACAGCCTAGTCACCAGATTAGTTCTGGCTGCATCTTCCCTTTCTGGGGTCTTCCTGTCCTGCTTTCCCCACCATAAAAAGCAATAATACGACAGCTGTGAAGGTTATTGAGAAAGTCAGTTTACAAAAATTACATGACATACAATCATTATTTTGTTGGCAACAATTTTGGTTAAGCATGAAATGTATATCTAAGTGGTTCTATTTCTTGGCAAACTCTTATTTTTTAAAAATTGCTCTTCTGGATGCATGCTCCCCACCTATGAATTCTTTTTCTTTAATGACTGTTTTTTTAAACCTAAAAGCATGCCAGCTGTACACATTCATGATCAACTTACTGACATTTCTAAAGAATATTTTCAATGAATCAAATTAGGGTGCAAAGGTTTAGAAATGAAGATAGAACATGGAGGAAAGCATAAAGCATACATTTTACTACACTAGCAACAACAACCTTCTGCCAATGGACAAGCTTGTTGTTGCTAGTGTAGTAGAATGTATGCTTCAAGTTTGTACTACACGAATGTCTAACACTTGTGGGGAGTGTAGGAGTAACTGCAATTCTTTGTTTAAATGCTCACAATTGTTGTTTGCAATGAAACCAGTTCTGAAAAATACCTTAGAGACATAGTTTCTGGTTAAACTGTTATATGCTCTTTTATCCACTCCAGAGAGCCCCTCTTTTTTAATACTTCTGCTTCCCATAGATTCTATACTCTTCATGAAATAACTTTACTTCAAACCTTTTCTGTTGATGGCTGGTGAGCGTAGCTCTCATGGGTCACAGAGTGACACCCATGTCAAATGTTTCCTAAAAGAATTTTTGTAACAGTGACACATGTGGGTTCTCTTAAGTTCCACAGGGCTCCTTTATATACAATCTGTATCGAATCAAGCCCCCTCAGTCTGAGACTCTCTTGGCTAACTGGTGGCTGGAAATTGTGTTCCAGCTGGTATCGGGGCTCTATAAACACCTTGAAGAGCTATGGATTAAAACGTTAAGCATGTGCCGCGTACCAACAACCCTGGTGTTGTAGTAATCAGGAAGCATGCGCTCGCACAGAGCCACCAGCAGCCAGAAAGCCTCCTCCTCTTTGGCATAAAGCAGCAGCACTGATGTGACAATATTCATGGCCTACAAGAATGAAAGGGATGTCGTCAAACACATTTTAACAAATACGCAATTTGTTAACCTAAGCAATTACTGAGTTAGTCTCACAGGGGCCAGCACACTTCTTCTGTAAAAGACCAGACAATATATATTTAAAGGCCTTGCAAGCTACACACATACATATTCCTTTGAGTTTTGTTTTGTTTACAGCCCTTTAAAAATGTAAAGCCGCTTAGTCCTAGGCCTGTAAGTGGTAAGGGCTTTCAGGAGCACCAGTCTTCACCCCGGATGGGACAGGCAAACCCTCATTCAAAAATTTTGCCCAGAGGCTATTTGACAAAGCTTTTAACATGCTAAAATCTGGGCTGGCTTAATCTTTAATTCCCTGAGGTACAGAATTCCTTTTTAATCCATCTTAATGGTTTCTATAACCAGGTACACATGGCCTGAGGCTCTCCTCCGAGAACAATGAAACCTTTTAAACTTAGAGCCCTGGCCCATTATTTCCAGCTGGAAGAGGAAGGTCTTGATAAGTGCCAGTCACTTAAATTCTAGAATAACCTGCTTTATTAAAAGATATTATCAGATGGCTCATAAGGAGATAGAAGGCTCAACGACTTTAATAGTCTTCTTAATTAAAAAGGGGAAGATCAAAAGATAAATAAGAACTCTTATTATATCAGAAGCCAACTCATTCCTATACTCCTTTGATCTTCTAGAAACCAGTAATTGTTCATCAGATTTCTACAATATAAATGTCAAAAAAGGAATTCTGCTCTATCTAATAGGCTCTTTCTTGTAGTAAGTCTTACTCAATATGTTTCCAAGTGAAATCATTACTAAAATTCCACTTGAGAATTAACCAGACGATTCTAGGTCATGACATGACTGGTCCTGCCTTGTTCCTTAGTTATCAGCCAAGGTGTTTTTAAGGGTCTACTTTGTCACAGGCCCTGGAGTAGGTACTGGAGGGGGGGAAGGAAAGGACACAGTGGTGACAAGTCACGAAAACGCAGGGCTTAAATGTTGGTGTCAGAGAGAGAGAATAATGATATAAAGGTTAATTACTGAATTTTGCAGGGTATATTTAACTATCAAATAGATAAAATGTGGTATAAGGAGACCTGTAGAGTGTGTGTGTTTGTGTGTGTGTGTGTGTGTGTGTGTGTGTGTAGAGGAATTAAGCCTTTAGCTTTTAGCTGGATGGCCAGGGAAGGCCTCTGAATATGTGGCCTTTAAAACTAAAGGTCACATTACCTTGGAGCTTTCTTGATTGTGGGTTGTGTACCAGTACAAGAGATCATTTTAGTATATGGGACAACACTTTTTTTATATCAAATTTAGCTTTTATTTAATGTGTGCTGTATTAAACATAACCATGGAATATAAAAGTTACACTCTCAAGGTCATGACTGCTTAGGAAAATGCAAAGTAGGGTCACTGTGGGACCCAGCACGCACAATCAAAGGCCTGGTGCTGTCACCCCATGATGAGGGTGGACTGTAGAGTGACCATGGGGCACTTTCTCAGGTCACCTGCTGGACAGTGACTCTCATCATGGCACTTGTCTCCTGGCTCCTCCACTCAGTGCAGTGGTCCTCAACCAGGGGGATTTTGCTCCACAGGGGACAGATGGCAATGCCTAGAGATTTTTCAGTTGTCACGATTGGGAGGTTCTACTGGCATTTAGTGGGTAGATGCTATTAAATATGTTATTAAACAGGAATGTTCTGAGATATTCTACAAAGCACAAGACAGCCCCACACAAAGAATTATCCAGTCCACGGTACCAACAGTGCCAAGATCGAGAAACCCTGGTGCAGTGAAGTGGTATCTCTGATGACCATAAAGTCTTTCTTCTTGTTATTTGCTAGCCAGTAAAACAATTATTAGTACAAACCATCTGTGACCTTTACCTGGCAGTACCCTATGTTAGGGTTTCGAAAAGCATACGCTGTTAAGACTCTCCTCAGAGCGGCGATGCCCATCTCATTCTGGAAAGCTGGGTGTTCCGGGAGCGAGCGGTGCAAGTCCCTCTCGATCTCCTCCGTGGCGAGATTGTACTTCCCCATGGACTTCTCCACGAGGTCTCCGTAGTACCCGGGGTGTGTGGCCTTCTCATTGATGGCACCTGGCAGATACCAACAGACACCATGTCAAAAAGTGGAAGCCCTGCCCTTGGTCTGCAGCCTCCACTTACCCACTGAACCTCTTCACATTCCCAACTGTTCAAAGGACACTTGTGAAATAACAATGAAGTCCCACAGGCAATGTGGTGTGCTGCAATCTCGGCTGGATGGGGACATTTAGATGGGCCTCCTTCTGTCTCAGCTCCACAGTAAGCTGGCTGTTTACAAACCCCATAAGGGGAGGTCTACAAGCTGAAACGCCCGTGTTCTGGCAGCTTCCACAGACCACCCTAAGGGGTCGAGAACGAGCAGAGGAGGGAGGTAATAAGAGGAAGCCTAGCTGGGGCCTCAGCCCTCCCTTCAAACATAGCCGCTCTGCTTTTACTTTATTGGGGTTTTCCTTAAGATTTCACTTGAAAAAGGTGATTTTGCCTCTCAAAACAAGTTTGAAAATTTTGCTGAAATGTAAGCTCTGAAGGGCCTAAACAGCCATATTGAAGAGTATAAAGCCATAGGGAGAGTAGGTAATAGAATATGTGAGGGGCTTTTTTAGTTGCTGAGGTGGTGAGGGTGTTCCTAGCAGTGGTGAATGGCTGCCACGGATGGGAGCCTTTGGGGGTGGGCAGGGGGATGGAAGGGTGGGCTGAGATTCCATTTAAAAAATTTTGAAGGCCGAAAAACCCTGTATACAAATATCTAAACCTAAATATAATTGTAATTTATGTAAGTATAAATTATACTTTCCTATGTTATATAAGTATAATTTATATATATATTTGTAAACTATATATACACATATATGCGATATATACAAAATATCTACATACATATACATTATAAAATGTGTGTGTATGTATGTGCATATATATGCATACATGCACATATATATTCATTTGTATTTTACTGTTTAGAAATTAAAGCCCTTAGGCTGGCCCAGTCCTTGTCCCTGAAGGTCACCCAGAGAGCTAGCCTTACCACTCACACTTGTCTCAGAAAAATCTATCCGACAGCTACTCAACATTGGTGTTAGCTCTGTTCTCAAGGGAGATCTGCAAGGCTTTCTTGCCATTTGGCCTGCACTTCCCTTCAGTGGGGACACTTGGCCAGGTCCTTGCACAGAGTCCCTAGGGGTCAGGGGAAGCAGGGCAGGACCCAGGTGGGGCTCCCCTGCTAGGAGCTGGACTCTCCCTATGGGCAGCTGACTTCCACACGAACCCCGCCCTCGGTGAACAGGCTGGAAATAGGGGCTTGGTTTTCTACTCGATCGAGGTGGCTTGTCGACCACTCGCCCTCTGGCCTCCCGTAGCTCATCACAGTTAAAGAAGACACTGGGTTTAACTGCCAATGTCTCTGCAACAGTGCGCTGTTGCACACTGTTTCCTGGTGCTCCTTTTGTGTTTCACTGTCATCTAAAACGTGCTATAAGTAACTTCTAATTTGGTTAATGAAGATGAAAATGGAATTTCCTGTTTATTCCGTCAGCTGCCTGAATCAGGCTGTCAGGTTGGCTAGTTCACCAAACACAAGGAAGACAGAAGACTGGACATAGGGGGCGTCTTGGGCTGGATTTGAAATTAGAGAGAAGTTGACTCAAATTTGGGTTTCTAAACGGGGAGCTATGGCTGGTCTACTTAAGGGAAATGAAAAACAAGACCTGTAAATAAGAGGACAAACTCGTTTTACATAAAACTGATAAAGCCAATTATTTTTCAAGAACCTATCGCCCTATTTCTGAGATGTTAATAGACCACATTATGGGTGATTACCATGTACATCGGCTTTTTTAGCAAGAGCTATGAGGGTGTGTGTTTTTTTAAAGACTTTCCTGTAAGTCTGAAAACTCTTAATTTTAATGTCATTTTTTTAAATGAAAGGCTTTCATGGTAGCACTGGAGTTGGACCATCTTGGGTTGAAAAAAAAAAATTCACATCCACCTGTGGAGAATGATCACATTTCAGGCCTCTACCCAAGCAGAGCAACTGATTTATATAGTAAAGACTGGGGACATTCAAAAGGAAAACCCTGATGTTTGTGACAGACTAGGCTGGGAGGAGGGAGCCTGGAGGACCTCTGGTTTCTGATGCAGGGCCCCAAGGTTTGACCTGACTGGGTTACGTCAGGGCATGAGCGTGGCTTGTGGACCAGGGAAGGTGGACACATCTTTCCCACGGGTCCATGATGCACCTCCTTCTAACCTTCCCAACACCTCCAGCTAGGAGTAGAAGTAGGATCTGTGTAGGTTTTCGGTTACAGTGCAGACTCTGGTTCCTCCTCTGTCTCCAGGGATAACCAGTGAACTCGAGTGGTGGCAAAAATCCAGGACAAGGCTTCCTTATTTCCCCCATTCCCTCCCTCTCCACCCCAATGACTGCTCTGCCCACGTGCCACACTTCCACGTCTGCTTTCCTAGCAGATGTTGACACTGCTGGGAAAGTATCACGAGGAATGATACTCAAGTCCTTCGAGTTTTCTTTTTTCCTAAATAATGTCAGCAAAGAAACAGAAGAGGTTATCAGGACTCCAAGGTGGTGGCTTTTGACATCTGGGCTGCTGAATACGTGTCCTGTATTTTTATCGAGGGACTTCAATGCTCTGGCCAGGAAAGAAGGTTTAGCTCTGCACTGGGGTTTGTGTATTTCAAAGAGCTCTGATGCATGACAGAAGGCTAAGGGGAGCCCCAGGGTCCCGAGGACTCCAGGCGCAGTGCCCCGCCCCAGCCCGGCATACCTGAGAGCAGCAGCCAGAGCTCGCCCCGCATGCTCTCCGGGATGCCCTTCAACACCAGCTCCCGCGTTTTTTCTGTGCGGTACATGCAGATCCCTTGCCCGTACTCAGCAAAGTGAATCTTCCAGGCTTGCTCCTTCAGAAACTCCTTGGCCTGAAAGAGATAATGACACATGACTACACCCCGAAGGACTTCGGGGACAGTGAGAAGTTCGATGGACAGTGAGAACTCCTCCCCTCGTGAACCGAGCCGTGAAGTTCTGGGCAGAGCTCATAAGAACAAAGAACGCAGGTTTTCTGGCATCGTTCCCTAATTGGACCCATCTATCACATCCTGCGGTCCTGTCACGGAGCCTTCTGGCCCCGAGTCAGAATTCCTCTTCCCTGAGACGGGTCAGCAGAATGCAGATTATACTAATGGCTTTATGGCCATGCCTCCAAGTAAAAGCGAGTTATGCTTTTTAAATGTGCCCTGAGAACTTATTTGTTGGTTGACATAAAACAATAGTGAAATCAAGACAAAAAAACGTCACCCATACCCTCTGTAACTCCTGTCTCCATCCGTGAAAAGCCACTCTGAAACCTAAGGACATATTTAGACAAGATCCGCTTTACTTACAGGAAAATACCTATTTACACAGATATGAGAGTGCTTTCATTAAGAAATACTTGTAAATGGTAATTTTCTATTATAGGAAGTTTCAGGGAAGAGCAGGAGGTACCCACCAATTTCGGATTGAATTCCTCGGGAGACCGCCGCCGATACATGGTCATCAGGGTCTGTGTGGCCGTGGGGACGCTGTTGCCATTTAGGTTGAACTGGCGTTCTCCCTCGGAATCCGAGCTCGAGTTTTTCTGGGGGCTGGAGGACACCAGGCTGCTGGGCCGGGAAAACACCTGCAGATGCAGAGAGGACAGAGACATTGGAAGGGCCCGGGCAGCAGCCCTTCAGGGTCCTCTACAGATAACAACAGCTATGTCCTGGCTCGAGATGATTCTTGCTTTGTGAAGAAGCACAAGGCAGCCAGCAAGTCAGCACTTTGATGGAAATCAGACAGGCTCATGGGCCACAGGCTATAGAGCTTCAATCCTCAAAACAGGTTTTCCCTGTATTTCAGCTGCATTTTTGCAGCAAATTGGTTGGCCATTTGTCTCTCTGATTAGCATATATGCAAAGCATGCTGTGTTTGAATCAGCTACTTATAGGGCCA